CGCATATGCCGTTTTAAATTTATATGGGAAAACGATTTAAAAATTGTAACTTCAAGGCCCTCTGGAGCCCAAACGAAGCAACTTTGTATTAAGGTAATTTTACTTAAATCGACTTATTTTGGTCCAGGGAATATGTGGTATGTTTTTGTAAAGACCTTTTACAGTATGGAGATAAAACAAATGATACAAGGTTTGTCCAACTCGATACAAAACCATTTAGCAACGATAAACCGCATGAGAATTACACGCCAAGCATTACAACTTGATTTGTACGATATGCGGGTTGATACAGAATTCTTTCCAACTGGTTCCAGAATCGTACCATCAAATTGGTTCACACATTTTTATAAAATTGTAAGTACAATTTGAAAACTTTTTCATAAATACGTTCTAACTCCTTTCCGATTTAAAAAACTGACCCTGCACAGTATATAGTGCATGAACCGATGTAGTACGATGTATGGAAACGGTACCCAACATCAAGTTGGAACAAATCTACAGAAATCTAAAGAAAACCCAACACTCTAACAGTGATAAATCGAATGGAATGGAATCAATGGTGGGTGGGGTTCTATTCAAGATAAAACAAGTCGCCCCGGAGGACCACAGCACATTATAATAATAATAATAGCAATCCCTCTCCTCACAAGCCCTTCAGATCTTCAGGGGTTCACTCGTAAAGGGTAATTTATAGGGGGAGTATAGCTATTATAATAGAAAGTAAAGATCGTATTGGAAATGACAAAGATCAGAAAAATAAATAAACATAACTCTGCGAATGTGAAGCTCTAGATCGCAAATGACAGGCTCTTTTTGGACAACCCCAGGTTAATTCAACAACATATAGAACCCACTCACCCAAGGATCTGTACAAACTTGTACAAGGTACAAAGGTGACAGAGTAGGTGCTATGAACTAACATGGAGTAAAACACAATAAGCCAATAGGCTTCAGTGTTATTCGGAGACATAGTCAGACGAGCCAGGAGAAAAAAAACCTCTGACATGATATAACTCTGACAGACGAGAAAAACCACTACTTAGATAAAATAGATATATCAGCGAATGTCAGTAAGCAATAATATTAAAATAAAAATCTTCTAAAAATAACTGAATCTAAACATGATAATGATGATGAAAATGACAAACTATCGGAAATTTCTAAATTATGTGTATAAAAAATCAGAAATCATGCAGTTTAAAATAGGAGTTTTAACGGGACAAAAATAAGCAAATTTATTTTAAAACTTGACATATACTCACATAGTAATAGTATCTTTAATAATTTTCACATTTTAACTACTAAGAATTCATCCTCACTAACCAGATCGCAGTGCCGCCTCGATGTAGAATATACAAACACCTAAAATACAATAATTAACATTCTCAACCTACATTTTTCGGACGTGAATCTCTAATGCATAACTTTATTTCACAGCTATATCGATTTATAATTCTAATAAATATCCAGGTATACTGGATTCAAAATATGGAGGACAATCTCACATGGTTGTTTACCTCAAAAAGTGTCCATCCAAAAGCAGTAAATAAGGTTTCAGAAAGTTGCCACCAGAATGGCGCTCGTGTGCAAGAAAGAAAAGATCCAATTATATATAGTTATATAGATTACTTATTCAAATGTAAATCAAACGATAAAAAGTACAATTGTCTTCTATTATCAAAATTTCTCTACGATTATAAACTCAGATGCTTTTCTCGATGTTTTTTCACGATGTAGTTTTTAGTTTTTAGACTATACCCTTCGAGCATTTTATATACCCTTTTATTTACATATGAGTAAGCTATCCATATAAATGTAAACATCAGTGGTGTAAGTGTCTGTTCTGAATTATTGACCGTCACAACTTTCGGTGTCCCTCTGGTACAGTAACACCATTTTAATTTTATACATTTTGAGGGACACTTTTTGTAAACCGAAATAGTTCTCCTTACCTCTACACTCCATATTTCAAAATAAAATAAAATACACGTCATAGATGACGTCGATGACAGGCATTGGTTCCACGCACACACACCATTAAATTATTGAATTTTTTTTGACAATTGAACGAATAAATTCGGACGCATAGATTTAATTTTTTAAAGATTGCGTATTAAAAATTAATTATGTCTGACCTGAAAATAACAGCATAATCGATGACGTGCATTGAATTTTTTATTAAATCCAGTGAACAAGGTCTTTTATGGATTTCGTATACATTTTTATCTGACCAAAACTCAACAACCAATATTTTTTGGTACTTTCTTCTGCTCACCCTGTACTCTGCAGCATCTGCGTATAAAATTTCAAATTGGGCAGATAGATTTTTCTCGATATAGTGATAATAATGCCATAGCAACCATAATTATATTCCAGTTCCGGTTTAACAAAATTTCACTATTTCTCTTAGCCTCAAGTACAATTTTTTTTTTTTAGTTTTACACCCTTCGGATCTCCCGTGCTACACCCTAATCCGTCTATAGCCTGGCGGCACTACAGCCTGCGGCTTATTGTACCACCATTTGAAGGTCCTACTACTTTCTCATTCAACAATTCACTCCCTGATTCATCGTCATTCATTCCACGTCGTCGGTGGTTAACCGCTAGTCGGATGAGTCCCATAGTGACACGGCCCATGGTGGAACCTCCCAGCGGTCACCCATCCACGACGTGACCGAAGAATCACGGCTTAACTGTTGCGAGTATGTGGATGCACACTAAGCTCGCAGCTAGCCTCTCCGGCCTCAAGTACAATACCCTGTATAGCAAAATTTTGAATATCTGATAAGATATTTCAAAAGAGTGGAACACATTCATATAAATAAAGGTCTTTTTAAATTTGCACATTTCGTTTTAGATCTATTTTTTTTTTATTTTGGAAGAAGGAAATGTCAAAATTTTGTTAAGCCAGATCTGGAATGTAATTATGGTTTCTATAGTACTATTATGTTTGCTGTATGTCAATTTTTTAATTTTTATACTGAGATTCTGCAAATTACAGAAAGTACCAAAAATATTACACTTAGAGAAATAAGAATATTATGGAAATTATTTGAAATTAACAATAGTAAAACATTAAATAGTAAAGTTATTGCAGTGGTAGATAATATAACTAAAGTCAGTAAAGTAAAGAGACTAGAACAGTAATTTGAAATTTGGAACCCATAGAGTTATAATCAAATAATTTATCTTTGTAGGTAATGTAGGAGATGTATACCGAGACCCACATAAAACCGATTGGTTTGGATACGGAGTGGAGCTGGGGGCAGAGTTAAAAACCTTTAACATAACGTGGCATAGAAGACACCATATGTTGGTGGATAGAAGACATGTTATGCGGACGGCAAGTACTAGCACAAATGTTCAGTGAAACCATGCAGGTAAATATCCACAGGGGATGCACACAGGGTGGAGTCCTTTCTCCTCTATTGTGAAACCTACTGGCAGATGAAATGCTAAAAACACTAAACAATCAAGGATACGCCCAAGGATATCACGATAACATAGTCATTCTTATTCGAGGGAAACACCAAACCACATTCTTTGAACTCATGCAAAGATCTCTTAGGCTGACAGAAATGTGGTGCATTAGGGAAAACCTCTTGGTAAACCCTGACAAGGCACAGCTCATAACCTTTACTCGGAAAACAAGGTTGGAGGTTTTATAAACTCCGACTCTGTTTGGAGGAAGGCTAAACAAAACGAACCAAGTAAAATATCTAGGTCTGATATAGATAGCAAACTTACTTGGAACCAACACTTACAAAAAGTGACCAACAAATGTAAAATGTCTTACATAGTAGGGAGACGGGCATTTGGAAAAACATGGGGATGAAAACAAAAAATGGTCCACTGGCTATATTTGGCAATAACAAGACCCATGATAACTTATGAAGCGGTTGATTGGTGGCCAAAAGTAAACCAGAAAATAGCCCTCAATACTCTCTCAGGAGTACAGAGGCTGGCATGCCTTTGTATTACAGGAGCACTGAGAAGTACACCGACAGTCTCTATGGAAATCATTCTGAACCTCCTACCCCTTGACCTAGTCATAAAGGGGGAGGCCAGACTGAGTGCAGAGTGCATACAGACTGGAAATCTCCAACAACTGGAACCCACTGGGACATATCAAACATACCAGAATTAACACATGAAGTAAATGATTATATATTAAAAATGGGATCAGATCACATGACACCCCTCCTAACCTTTAACAGACTCTTCCAGGTCAACTGTAACTGGAACGAGGTAAATAAGGAGATAGATAAATACTTGTTTAGCGGTCTCGTATGGTATACGGATGGATATAAAACTAACAAAGGAACAGGCTCTGGCGTACATGGAGTTAAACCCAAATGCGACATCATCGTCTCACTGGGAAAACACGCCACTGTATTTAAGGCTGAAATACAGGCAATCGAATAGTGTGTAAGAGAGAATTTAAGAAGGAAGTACAAAAAACAAACAATCCTAATTCTCTCAGATAGCCAAGCAGCCTTAAAGGTTCTTGATTCAAACAGAATTAAGTAAAAGCTTGTCTGGAACTGCCTTGGAATACTAAATGAACTGGCAACCCATAACAAGGTAAAACTAGCGTGGGTACCAGGGCATAAAGGTATCCAAGGAAATGAACTCGCCAAAGAGGGATCAGATTTATCATTCACAGGACCCGAACTTGTATTTGGGATAAGCAAAACCTCTGCTTGATAGGCAGTGAACAGGTGGATAACCACAAAACACCAAATTCACTGGCAACAGATAAGAGGGCACAGAATCAGTAAGCTCATGCCAAAGGGAATGTCAGCAGAACAACAAAATTAAAATAAAACTTAGTCTTCGTTGTGAAAGTAAATCCCGGATAAAGAATAAGAATTTTAAATTTTAAATTCAAGCTGCAGAAAAAACAGTACTTCGTAGTATTGACAAGGTTTATAGGAGAGATAAGAAACACAATAATTAAGTTAAAGGGCTAGAATTTAAATCAATATGCTTTCTTATAGGAAAAAGACAACTGTGGTGATTTGGGAATTATAAAAAGAAGGAGTAGACCAAAAAATATTCTAGACAAGAGAGGAAGCAGCACATGGCTCAACAACGTGCTTTCAACAATGGAAGACATTTTGCTGGGGCTAACTGTTCCAATGATGAAAGATACTTTTAATAAGTATTCTACAAATAGTTTTTTATTTTCCAATTTTAATGGTGTATCATCCAGTTTCATTCAAAAGTGCGGTACGTGATTTCGCATAAAACAGTAAAAAAACTTAATATAATTAAGCTGAAACCAATTATACCCTTTAAAAAATATAGATATGCTATGTTCAGTAATTGAAATATTTCTTAGGGATGGTTACCTTTAGGTACAGTTGCAAGAATTGAATCCAATCCAAAATGTTTTGGAACCAGCAGAGCAATCTCTCAAAATACCTTTCAAAACAGAATAAGGGAATGCCTTGAAAAATCCCTATACAGTTTTAATCAAACCTACAACGTTACCAATTACGTTATTAAATGAAAAAGCAAAGAATGTCAGAGTACTGGACAAAGAATGTTTTGAAAGTGTTTTTGGTCCTAAAAAAGAACGGAAAGAGGCCAAATGTATTCGCAAAATGATTATTAAAATAAATTTGCAACTCAATATAGTGGTGAAAAAGATACAAAATATTTTAAGAGATGATGGTGGGGTTTGCGACCTATCTAGAGATTGGGTTATGGCTGCTGGAAAATCTAGGAGAATATGACGTTGTACTGCACGTATTAGATGCTAGAGACTTTATGGGTACAAAATCACCATATTTAGAAAAATATTTAAAAACTGAAAAACCACATAAACATCCGATTTTTATTTTGGATAAAGTTGATTTAGTTAAATCCATCTAGAGTGTGTCCCACCCCTGTATCTTTGTTTTTTAGCACAGGATTGCTTTTAAAACAACAATAAGTATATACCCTTAACTCAATTGTTTTTTTTTTTGAAGCCGCATTAGATATCTACCACAAGCGCGCAATTTTTAGAGGGACAGAAGGGGTCAATATATTATAAATTAATATAAGCGATTTTTTATTTAAATTTAGATTTCACCATCACATTCATCACATTTAAAAATCCCCTCCTGATAAATATGGCTGATTCATCTTTTGATCAACTATACGTTTGTAATTTTATCATAAGTATGCTAAAATTATTAATCAATATTTTTATTAAGTACCTCAAAAGATTAACTCAATAAAGTAATAAACATGTGCCAAATTTTATTTTAAATAACGTGATGGTTCTTAGATTATTACCATTTAAAAATAGGAAAAATAAAATTTTTGATTTATCATCTCACGATAATAACAAAAGATAAATCAGTCATATTTGACAGAAAGAGGCTTTTAAACGTCCTGAATGCGATGGTGAAATCTAAATTGATATAAAAAAAATCTACCCAAAATTGTTCGCCTGTGGTAGATATCCAGTGCAACTACAAAAAAACAATTGAGTATATACTTATTGTTCACTTTTGACGGCACTCTAGTGTTAACCGAACAAACCTGACTTTTCGCGAAAGCAAAAATGTTTTAGGGATTTTCTTATATAAAATTGTATTTATTTACGCGCCACTGGGAAAATTTCATGATATTAATTGTCTTGAGAATATTGAGAGCTTTAAATTTTTGCAATGATAAGACGTTTAAGCAAAGAAGGTGGAAAATCCTCTCATTTAAAAACAAAAAGCAGCAAATTTTCATAGATTTAATACAAAATTGCGTGTAAATTTTTGTTTTTGAAATTATTTTTAACAATTTTTAAAATAAACACTTTTTTTTTGAAGGTTTACAAAAATTCAAGGTTTCTCCACACTAAGTTTTGTTATTTTTGGTATTTCCTGAAAATAGCACAAAAAAGGAACCATAAATAAAGGCTCAGAGGGAAATTATAAATGTTCGAGGTGTTCGGTTTACTTTTATAAACAACCGAAATACAGGGGTGTAATTATCATATGCGACATACTGTAGAGCAGGCCTGCACAACTCAGATTTTCAAAGGGCCATATTTGAAAAACTGTAACTGTACGAGGGCCGCCAAGAGAGGCCTGAGCCTATTGATTCCTCAGTCAGTCTAAATGCAAGTTTGTTACTGAAAAATGTATAATTTGACGTAGGCGGGCCAAACTGGTCAACGGCCAACGGTCCGCCAAAACGACACTGGCGGGCCGTATGTTGTGCACCCCTGCTGTAGAGTCATTCCCTATTTATTTTAATAAAATCATGTGTGCCTTGAATTTATGGGCGCCGTTCAAAAAATTTCCAGGTGGACAAGTCTTATAGGCAGGGTCAAAGTCAAAACGCTGCAGGCTCTAGTCGAAAGCCACGGCGAAAAATCACAAATCCATTTCTTCACTTAAAAGTATAATATAAATAACTCATTTATAAGCCTTTATTAAAATCAAAATAACTATTTTTAACTAAGCAATTTTCGAAATTTCGCAATTTAGTAAAAAATTGTTTTATCACTATTAATTTATCGATTTTGGGGAATTTTTATTACATATCCGTATTGGATGGATTTCACCACCATTGTATGACAAACAATGCCTTGATTATTTGTTGAATCGGAATAATTTGAATGTAATTATTTAAGTACCTACTTCATATATCGTTTTATCAAAACTTGACATGATTTTACTTTCTAAATTTTGTATAATGGGTGTAAATGATTTAGGTACTTAATACAAGGGATATTAGAATAGTAGTTTGTACAACAAGAGTAGATGTGGACAATCCACTCGAGTTGCACAGTATATTTTTTCTACAACCCACTAACAAAAATTTACCAATTTAAAAAATATATTTTAGGTTATTAGGACAAAATAACTAATTTTAAAATAATTTATGAATTTTAATAATTTATAAAATAAAATAAACATAAAAAATTAATTTAATTAGTCTCCAGCCAGAAATCGATCCCGGACTTTTCGCGTGGAATGCAGAAGCTCTGTCTACAGCTCTACGGCTGCGTTTAGTTTTAGGTAATACCCGTAATTAAATTAATTTCATATAGTTTGACAAATATTTTTTTTTTAAATGTGGTCCAAATAAAAATAAAAATGCTATTATTTATAGATTCTACACAAAAATAGCTCATTTTATGTATATTTAATCTCAATAACTAAAAACTATACTGACAATTAGTTTGACAATATTGTGACTTAATTAAAAATTTAAAATAATAGTAGTTGGGTGTCCAAAATATGAACTGTGATTGATAGATAAAAAAATTACCCAACTATGATAGAAACAAGTAACTGTGCGTTGCTTAGTAACGTTCAATAAACAACCGTTTTCTACTTGTATGACTAATTATATTTTAATTTGTTGATTAAAATTTAAAATTTGAAGGTAAATAAATCCAGTGGTGTTGACAAATTAAAAAAATCATAGAATGATTAGAAAATTAATATTTGGAAATTTGTGTCAGGGCATAGGTACATATCTACTTTGCCTAATAAAATAAAAATAAGAAGTCACCTATAAGAAATAACACCTGCTACTTCAAAGTGCTTTCATTTGTAAACGAAACATTTTTTTTAAATATAAACTTTTCATAATCTATTTCCAGAACGAATGTTATTTTTAATGTGTATACTATTCTTATAATAAAATCTATTGTTGGTATTGTGTCGCACTATTTTTTTATAATTCAAAAATTAATCTTACCTTAAAAAAAATTGAGTCACTTCGATACATCACGCTCTGGAAATTGCAGAATATTAAATAAACTTTTCTGTTATCTTATAATACGCAGCCGACTCTAGCCGTCATCATTTTTCATATACCGACAGGAAATGTTAAGATAAAATTTTGTTAAATAAGATTCGCATTCCTAAATAAATAATTATATTCAATTACTTCCAGTTAAAAATCAGCCGATGTTTTTTTATCGTATTATTATCTTATCTTTAAAGATTAGTTCACAATAATATTAATTTGCATTTGGTAGATTCATTTAATGTAAATTATACCATCTCATTACTATATATACCATAAATCACAATACAGGGATCACTTCAAATCAATAGAAGGCATCATTCTGAAGAATCAATATAAATATTTATTATTATGAAGAATTAATATGATTAGTCAGTATGATGAATGAATATGAAGAATCAATACGAATAATTATTATGATTAGACAATATGATGAATCAATATGAAGAATCAATACGAAGAATCAATTCAAAGAATCAATTCAAAGAATCAATTCAAAGAATCAATTCAATGAATCAATATGAAGAATCAATATTAAGAATCAATATGAAGAATCAATATGAAGAATCAATATGAAAAATCAATATGATGAATCAATATGATGAATCAATATGATGAATCAATATGAAGAATCAATATGAAGAATCAATATGAAGAATCAATATGAAGAATCAATATGAAAAATCAATATGATGAATCAATATGATGAATCAATATGAAGAATCAATATGAAGAATCAATATGAAGAATCAATATGAAGAATCGATATATAGAATTAATAATATGAAGAATCAATATGAAAAATTAACATAAATAATCAATATGAGGAATTAATATGAAGAATCAATATGTAGAATCAATATGAAGAATCGATATGAAGAATCGATATGATTTTTCGATATGAAGAATCGATATGAATAATCGATATGAAGAATCAATATGAAAAATCAATACATGAAGAATTAATATAAAGAATCAATATGAAGAACGATATAAATAATCGATATGAAGAATCTATATAAACTATTTTTTTTAGTTAAGGTATATAATATTCTTCTATTTTGTTCATGATTATTAGTTTTGTTACAATGTTACCTTATTTTTGGGGATAACTATGAAAGTAACAAATTATTAACAAAATAAATGAACAGCTACATCTGGAAAATTAAAAACTTAATCAACTTACATTAAAGAATATTTAAATCCTAATTTGCAGAGCTTTTCAGTAGATATAATTAAAAAACACTGTGCCTTCTTCAAATTCCCCGAGATTTTAATTTAAAAAGGGAACTAAGTTTGTTTAGTTTATATTCAAAGGCGTACCGTAATTTGGGTAATTATATTGTGTAATTATATCTATGGACAGGCTCGGAAAATTAGGATTATTATTCCTTACAGGCAGCACAAGAATATTATTATTTATTCTTGTGCAGGTAGGCTGATTATTATTTTAATTTTCTTTATGAATATATAGGATGCCTCAATC